CTCAACAGTAACACACATATACCTTATGTTGTTACGATACATACATACCTACATACAGATATAATGTTTACAATCTATATATAATATAATATATTATAGAATATTATGTCATCAGATTTCTTGCCTATTTATCAAGTTATTGTAGCTGAAATTTTAGATCAAATAAATTTCGGCTCAAATTAATGAGTTTGTTAGGTTACAAAGCTAAATTTTCTTTCTTGGTAACCCAATTTAAATGGGAACGTTTGCACACAAGCTAGAATTATTTGTGTCTGATGAATACATTAATTAATCTCTCATAGTCTGGGTTCACAAACTATGAGCATTGGTTTGGCAAAGCTTTTGATATCACAACCACTTTTGAGAAGTAGAATTGCATATTTTCCTCACTGTGTTGTTTTTAAGCTTCCTAATTTTAGAAAAGAAATACTTCCTTAGATTTTATTTTATTTTCTTTCAGGCTGTGTTCTGCTTGCATTAACTTTATGAAGAGATCTGTCAAACTCTTGATTGCTCACCTTTAGTGTTTCAGCAGTGAACTGTAAACTGCTGGGTTATATTTGCAAAAGCAGTGTTGATGTGTCACACCCTGAATTCACATCTAAAGTATGAAAAGTGAATGTGAAAGTCTATATATAAAATAACCTTCATGCAACTGTGAGATGCAATTGTTGTAATCTTGTAGCATTTTTCTAGTTCTTAAATATTATTTTTACCATTTTTTTTAAAATGGATGTATTAATACAAAATCAGTCACAACCATGAGATAAATAGGATAGTTTTCTAAACATGTAGTTAATCAGCATGTAAGTGGCACGGCCAGTGAGACCAAAGTGCTGAGAGATGATTTCCCACACCAGATCATTCCCCCCTCCTCTCACTTATCTTTCTAGGCAGTGGTACTTTTTCTTACACTTAGTTCCTGGCACTTCTGAGTTGTCATTGCCTTTAGTTGGGCTTCTGCTACTGTTTTTGTTTTACTCTTTTAAACAAGTGGCCTGCCACATCCTGACAAAGGTATACAGGGTTTTCTTCTCTACTAGTTAAGATAACTCAGTTATCTAATTTTTTAAAAAATTAACTAGTTTTTGCACACTGGCTGGCATTTCTGGATACAATTCTGTCACACATAAATAACCAGAAGCATTTGTTGAGTTCAAAGCACAGAAGACTTTATTATTGCCATATATGCATAAGTATCTAATCAGCTAATGGTCAAAGCTAAATCAGTGCTAGTTAATAGAATTCACAGGAGGAAAATGAATTTTGGTTTCTTGTGACTGTGCAATGATTTCAAAGTGATGACACCTTTAACCCCACCTCCAGCTCAACCTGATTTTTCTAGTTTTTAACACAGTTTGTGAGAGGTATTGACCTTTATCCCATTGACAAATTATCACCCTTCTCTCAAAGTATTTGCTAACCTAAATGAGAATTATGCTATCATCAGAACCATATTGTGATGGAGATAGCACTTGGAGAAAGAAACTATGGGGAGGCAAGTTGTAGATGGGAACTGCTTTTGTCATAGCTAGTAGGGCACATGTTTTATTAGAAAATCTTCTGCTACTATTGCTGGAAAACTTCTGCCTGTAAACCGTAAACTACTGCCTGCTGAGAGATGACAGTTTCTGTAGACACAGACCAACAATGTCATTCATTATACAGCAGCTTCATATGCTGATGAGCTCTGCAAATGATTGGATTTTTGCTCAGAAAGAAATACACAGTTTAAAGAAGGAAATTATTCAAGAAAACCAACCAACCAGATTTCCTCAATCTGTTGTAGTCTTCAACTTCTTTTTTTTGATCTTTTCAGTCCCTTGAAATTTTAGATAGCTTTTGATTCATTAATTAGAGGAAGATGGAAAATTGAAAATCACAGTATTCTGTCACTAACAAACAACTGAATTGGGAATTATACTGTTGAATCTTCTAAGTGTGAAAAGCAAAGGAGTGGAAAGCTTAAGTTACAACGCAGCAAGGAGCCTTCTGTTTATATTCTATAATTGGTTTGATGTATAATGTATCATAAGGAAGCTGGCAATGAATATAAAGTAAGAAATGAAAAATGAAAAATGACCTGGCTAATTCAGTATTCATAATAATGAGCTAGAAAACAAAAATGCAGGATGTATATTTTTCTCCCAGCGTATACAATTTTATCAGATTCAAATAAACATATGGCAATGTTCCTTTCAGCAATGGATTGTACTAATGATCATATTCAAAGATGTCAGGAAAACCCTTTTTCCATACCTTATTTCTAGAACATAGCTGTTTATCATGTATTATCACTAATCTTGTTTCTTTCATTGTTTTGCTTTGGCCAAGCAAAGTAATTAACTATTTATGCATTTACTTTTCTGAAATTTTAACTAAATAGTAAAAGTGCTCCTTACAATTTTTTTTTCACTATGATGCTGAAAATTGATGTAAAATGATATGTTAAGAGGACATTTTACACAGTGATAACAGAACAGAACAGAATAGAATACTTCATTGGCCAAGTGTGATTACACACAAGGAATTTGTTTCCGGTATATAAGCTCTCAGCATGCATGCAAAACAACAATGTAATAATTATATATCAAAGTAATATTAATCATAATAATTATACCAATAAGAGAAGGTGGTAGTACAGATGAGAAGGATAAAAGTAATACAGCCATACTATATGGGTAAATATACTTAGATATAAGACTGAACTGTAAAAATGAAGTGTTCAGCAGAGTGACGGCACAAGGAAAAAACTGTCTCTGTGTCTAATTGTTTTGGCATGTAGTATCCTCAAGGGTGGGATTCTACCAGTTCGCCCTATTCGCTAGAACTGGTTGTTAACATTCTAAGCAGTTTGAAAATCCGGTTGTTAGAAGAAATTACTGGCCTAATCCTGTAAGGAAGGCAGGAAGGAAACATTCTGGTGTTGCTTACAGAAACCCTTATTACATTCTTGGCAGGACTAATCTTCCTGTCTCAGGAACTTCTATGGAATTTCCCCCCCCTCCTTTGCTGGTACTTTGCTTGTGTGGAGTGACCATTTAAAGTTACAATGGCACTGTAAAAAGTGACTTATGACCATTTTTCACACTTACGACTGTTACAGCATCCCCACAGTCATGAGAGGCCAGGAGAGGAGATGCGTGCCTCGATGTGTGTGCTATTGAGTTGGCCACACCCAGCCAATAACATGACCACCAAGCCATGTCCAGCCAGTCACATGACCACCAAGCCATGCCCACCACCTAAGCCACGCCCACAGAACCAGTTGTTAAAATTTTTGAATGCCAACCCTGAGTATCCTGTAGCAGCATCCCACAAGGAGGAGCTGAAACAGTTTATGTTCAGGATGTGAGGGGTCTGTAGATATTTTCACAGCCCGCTTTCTGGCTCATGCAGTATGCAGGCCCTCCCTCAATGGAAGGCAGGCTGGTTGGAACTGTTTATTCTGCAGTCCTAATTATTCGCTGAAATCTGTACCTGTCTTCAGTAATGAGTATAATAATGTAATGAGTAATGGGATATAATATTATAAAAATTAGAAAGGTGGGTCCTATGTACATTATCTTGAGTATTTGGAGAACAAGTGAGATATAAATCTAATAAATAATAAATATTAACTGAATAGAGTGAAACACAACTGAAAACACTGTTCATCTAACTCTTACAACATACTTTTCAAAATAGCAATAGCACTTACACTTATATATCACTCCATAGTGCTTTACAGCATTCTCTGAGCAATTTACAGTCAGACCCCCAATAATCTGGGTCCTCATTTTACCGACCTCAGAAGAATGGAAGGCTGAGTCAACCTCAAGCCTGTCAGGATCGAACTCCAGACTGTGGGCAGAGTTAGCCTGCAGTACTTCATTCTAACCACCTGGGTTTTTCACTGGCTGAGCTCACTGGATAAGGACATGAACAACCACCTCTTATGAATTTTTGTATTTAGAAACACTTTCCATTGTTTACAGTAGGGCTTACTTTCAAATTGTTTTATGAAGATATCTGCCTTTATAATTTCAGAAGTGGAGCAATGTTTTGCATTCCAAATGCCAAGGTACATTTTAACAGTGTTCCAAGGATGTAGGGTTAATGGTCTGAGCTTGAGTTACTTGTTTTTAAGAACTTTGTTTTATGTTTAGTTAAGCAAGTTGGAACATAGTTACTTCAAATAGAAATCAGATAGCCATGTACATTTTTGTGTCTATGCAAATGTGTATATGTGTACACCCTCTCTGGAAATATTAACAGAGGAGAGATTGTCAAGACTTTTTAAGCTATTTGGGGGAGGAGGAAACACTTTGCATATTACAAATCTTACTCTGAATAGCCCTTTTACAACTATTGACAACCTGGTGCTATGTGGTAGTGCTAATGTAATTTACATTTCTTGTTAACTGCAATTTAAAAGAATGTATCCATTTAAAGTACCCTAATTATTTACTTTTACAAAACTTGGTGTAAACATGTACACAATCGTACATTTTGGTATTGGTATGGCTTCTTGATAAAGATACAAAAGGAAAATGTCGACTTTAGTAGAGAAATCCAACCCAGTCTCTTATGCAGGCTGTTTAGTTCCAGGTCTGATAACTTATTAATTCAGACTGTAGGATGTTTAGAAGCTTTCTTTAGTTTCCTCCTGCTCTGATGTCAAATTTCTCTATACAAAAAAGCCCTAGTATAATAAGCTGAATACTTGATCAGCACAATGCCTTGAATTTTAATGTTGCTAACTTTGCTTCAAACTAGTTTGGGAAAAGAAGGGAAACACTTTGTCTCACTTGTTCCAGAAGCTGCCAATGTTGGGGGTTGGCTTTTGTTAATTTTAAGTGAGAAATTAATGATTTCAACAGAAAAGGGCCTAACTTTGGCTCTCTTTTTCCTTTCCACAGATTTATACAGATTGGGCCAATCATTATCTAGCAAAATCTGGCCATAAACGTTTGATAAAAGATCTGCAGCAAGATGTGACCGATGGAGTTTTACTGGCTGAAATCATCCAGGTTGTAGGTGAGTAAATTTGCCTTTTATTTTGGCATAGTTGCAATGTTTTAGTCCAGACTGTTTTCTGTAAGACCAATAACTAAAGTACATTTAGCTGCAACATTACACATAAGGTGCAGTTGTACGAGTTTTATGCATATGATTTGTTCATTGTTGTTCCTGTAAGATTATTAAAAGGTCCTACAGAGGATTATGGAAATTACCTCAAACCTTACCTAACATTTTTTTTAATTGCCCAGTGTTACTGTTAGCACTATCTAGTCTTATATATTTATTTTTGATTCTTCTTTTATCTTTGATTGAAGCTGAAATCATTTATACTTTAAGTGAAGGCTTGACTTTAGTAAACAAGGGATAAAGTGCAGGCGTTGAGACTGCAGGTTTCACAAGTTTGTGATTTTTTTAAACAAAAACTTAACTACTAAAGTTGCTCTCCTAAACATTTATTTGAGAAACAAATGTGAAGCTTAGTGGTGATCCCAAAGCTTTAGTGATATGGAGTCAAGGCTACAGTCGGACAAACCAGAGATGAATCTGAGGCCTCATAATTTTTCATGATGAAAGTATGGCACTTAGTTGTATGCTGTGACATACACTCTAAAAGTTGATCTGATCAGAATAAAATAATGGAGCAATGCCAAAATTTAATCTCATTTTATTTGAATTAGATTTAAATTTAATTATGAAATTATGCAGTTAATATGATTAGTAGCCTCACTGCTTCCCACAGCAATACTGATCCTCTTTTGCTCTAAACGGTTACCTTAGAATAGTTACAGTTTTTCAATTATCAAATAATTTTCTCATTAACTACATTTGATGTCTTAAGACAGGTCTCTAAATAGAATTACTTTTATCTTAGGCATCTATGGAAGGCAGTAGAGTATCATTTTTTTTTCTTTTTTGCACCCTGCATAAAATTCTCTGAGAATACTTTATCTATTCTTTATTTAAAAACTACTTACAGTTTTATGTAACTTTTCTTCATATACAAAAATCCAGGAATCTGTTATCTTTAATGCAGTTATATATCTAAGAGCAGATATGCATTTCAGATTAAAAATTGTACAACGTAGATATGAACTAAACTTTCAATGAAAGTGGCCATATAACCCTAGGACAATAGTGAAAATTGTCATTCAGAGAATCCTGCTACACTTTTCTTTTTAGAGTTTTAATGGGTGCCTTTTATGGCATACAAATGTCATATAAAGAATTAGGAAGACCTTAATGCACTGTCATGACAATTTGATTCTCTCTTCTTTTGTGGTGCATAGCCCAGACCTGAAAAGTTCTGTTGAAATGTTTTGGAAGTAACTGTTATTTATGGTTGACCTGTGTAACCTTAGGATACTTCTGCATGAAATCTGTCTTTGTATCTGATCTGGAAATCTCGGTTGGAAAAAAAAAAACTCAGAAGAACTCAAAAGCCAGAAACTGTATCATGCCAAGATAATACAAAAACTTTTCTTTCACTCATGGTTAGTGTATGGCTGAAGCCATTTATTATCAATCAACTGTGTTTACTCTTTTAAATCATAATGACAACAGAAACTACCCAAATGACCCTGATCAAAAGTTTACATACCCTAGTGATTTTGGCCTGATAACACACATGCACACAGGTTGGCACAAAGGGTTTGAATGGCTATTAAAAGTAGCCATTCTCACCTGTGATCTATTTGCTTGTAATTAGTGTGTGTGTATAAAAGGTCAGTGAGTTCCTGGACTCCTGACAGACCCTTGCATCTTTCATCCAGTGCTGCACTGACCGTTTCTGGCTTTTGAGTCATGGGGATAGCAAAAGAATTGTCAAAGGATCTGAGGGAAAAGATAGTTGATCTGTATAAAACAGGAAGGGGATATAAAAAGATATCCAGGGAATTGAGAATGCCAATCAGCAGTGTTCAAACACCAATCAAGAAGTGGAAGATGAGGGATTCTATTGAAACCAAGTCACGGTCAGGTAGACCAACTAAAATTTCAGCCATAACTGCCAGGAAAATTGTTCGCGATGCAAAGAAAAACCCACAAATAACTTCAGGTGAAATACAGGACTCTCTGAAAACATGTGGTGTGACTGTTTCAAGATGTACAATAAGGAGGCACTGGAAGAAAGATGGGCTGCATGGTTGAGTTGCCAGAAGAAAGCCATTACTATGCAAATGCCACAAAGTATCCCGCTTACCATACACCAAACAGCCCAGAGACAAGCCTCAAACCTTCTAGCACGAAGTCATTTGGAGTGATGAGACCAAAATTGAGCTTTTTGGCCACAACCATAAATGCTACATTTAGACAGGAGTCAACAAGGCCTATGATGAAAAGTACACCATTCCTACTGTGAGGAATGGATCGCTGATGTTTTGGGGATGTATGAGTTACAAAGGCACAGGAAATTTGGTCAGAATTGATGGCAAGATGAATGCAGTATGATATCAAAAGATACTGAAAGAAAATTTGCATTCATCAGCCCGGAAGCTTTGCATGGGATGTACTTGGACATTCCAGCATGACAATGATCCTAAACGCAAGGCCAAGTCCAGGGGTGAGATTTCAGTAGAACTGGTTGTTACCGTTCCCAGTAGTTCAGAGAACCGGTAAAATGGGCCTCTGGCTGGCCCCACCCCTCTCTGCCTGCTTCTCCGTTCCCTGCCCAGTCAGTCCCTATCACACATGCGCAACATCGTGCGCATGCATGACATGCCTGCAGCCTTTCAGGCCAGCCGTTGCTGCCTACCTTTCACTGCAGCACAGTGAAAAGCTTGCAAACCTCAGGAAACAGCTCCTGAGCAGCAGAGAAGCAGCCCAGTTGAATCCTGTTTCTCTCTGCTGCCCAGGAGCCATTTCCCGAACTGGATGCTTGGCAACTGGTTCTTATTTATGTCTGTTGCTGTGTCCCAGGGTCATGTGGTCACCTTTTGTGACCTTTTGACTAGCAAAGTCAGTGAGGAAGCCATTTTCACTTAACAACCATGTTACTAACTTAACAACTGCAGTGATCCATTTAACAACTGTGGCAAGAAAGATGTAAATGGGGCAAAACTCAATTCACTCACTTAGCAACAGAAATTTTTGGCTCAATTGTGCTTATAACTCAAGGACACTGCAATGATTCATCTAACAACAGTGTCAAGAAAGGTCATAAATGGGGCAAAACTCACTTAACAACTGTCTCACTTAGCAACAGAAATTTTGGGCACAATTGTGGCCATAACTCGAGGATTACCTGTATTCATATTATAGGGCTTATATTACATTCCTCCTTGATTTCTACTGAGAATGGTTTTTAGCAGTCATGGTCAGAAATGGGCCTGTTTATTCAGTAATTTACTGAGAAGCTATTTACATTTAAGAGCACTGGTCGTGCAGTGGTTAGAATGCAGTATTGCAGGCTAATTCTGCTGACTGCCAGCAGTTCGATCCTGACCGGCTCAAGGTTGACTCAGCCTTCCAATTCTTCGAAGGTTGGTAAAATAAGGACCCAGATAGTTGGAAGCAATATACTGGCTCTTTAAACCGCTTACAGAGGGCCTTAAAGCATTTTGAAGTGGTGTATAAGTCTAACTGCTATTGTTATTGGTGCAAGATAGTGAGGTACTATAGCAGCATATGTAGAAAAATAAAAGGTTTTATTGGATAAATAAAACTGAGATTGATTCTTGGAGCGATTTGAATTTGGAGATTTAAAAATTTCTAGCTTATAAAAATGATATGGAAAAAAGATGTTGTAGATCCAAAAATGGATTTTAAAATGCCAGTATGCCAACCTAGCAGTTTGAAAACATGTAAAAATGCAAGTAGAAAAATAACCGCTTTGGTGGGAAAGTAACAGCATTCCCTGGCCACATGACCACGGAGACATCTTCGGACAGCACTGGCTCTTCGGCTTTGTAACAGAGATGAGCACTGCACCATAGAGCCGGAAATGATAAGCACGTATGTGCAAGGGGAACCTTTATTTTTATATAAGCGTTATGGAAAACAGTGTCAAAATGGATTTACAAAAGAAACCAGTTGATGTTTTAATTATTATTTGTATATCCCCTTTAATTATGTTGTGTTTACAAAAGTAATGTATGGAATCAAATCAACTCTTTCTTAGAAGCGACAAAGAGAAACTGCTCAATCTGCTCCATGAAGAAGAAACTGATAAGAAATCAATGTGTGGGTCACCACTCAATGGAACTAAAATCAGCCTTAAAAAAATGAAAAGAAAGTGCATAAATTGAATGTATTCGATGAGCATTAAAACATATGTGTTATGGTGTCTGTTAGATGTTAAATTGGATTTCTTTTAGACCAGGATTGTATAGCAAGACTATACTATTTGTAAGTGGGGAAATATTTTTTTGCTTTATCTCTTTAGATATAATGGCAAATTTGAATTATGAAATTGAAATTTTTGATTAAGATTAAAATATTTGTTTCTGGTAGCTATTACTATACTTTTGTAGATTGGGTTGAATGATGTGGTTTCTGTAATTTGACTATTAATAAGGGTTGAATTATGGAAACAAGGGATTTTTTTAAAAAAATTATTATACTAGAGGTGTCAAGTTAACCAAATTATTTATACCGGGGGGAAGAGGAAGTCATATTTGATATCTTTTCTTTCTCGCTTCTGGTTTCCTCTACTTTTTAAATGTTTTTATTAATTTTTCTTCATTTCTTGACTTTTTATATTTTTCTTATTTATATTTTTTAATATTTGTAAATTTTAATAAATAAATTAGACAAAGAGAAATCAGAACTAGAGGTTTCTATCACTAGAGAATGCGAGTGTCTTAACTTCTATAGCAAGAGCATCAATGGGCCTCAAATTATAATTTATATAGCAAAAAATATTATATAAAATTGATTGGGCTCCATTACATTTGTGATTTAATTCTCTTTTGTTGACCTGTTTTCTGCTGTTGGTTGCTCTTATAGCTTTGCTCTCCCTTCACACCCGATAATGCTTTTCAAATGAAATCCCTGTTTAAACACACCTGCTCCTATTTTAA